CAGCAGGAAGATGCAATTAGGCAGAACAGAAGCATCTCTGGACATCTCCAAACGGGGTGACATGAGTTTACCAGGCCTCTGCTCACATAGCCTCTTTTGTTAAGTTGCTTCTTGGCCTGATTTCTGCCCTGTCCCCCCTCCCCCCATGTACTCGACGGACAGAGCTTGAAGCCGGTGCACAGGGCGGAAGTCGGGCCTTGCTCGGTTTGCTCCCTCACAAGAGGTTTGCCTGGTGCCTGCTAGGCATGGTGCCTGGGCTTCACATACCACCCGCATCATCTCAGGCAAGGAGGGGGCAGGTGGGCCATCTAGGCAAAGCAGTGGGAAGGATGTGCCTTTCTCTGTCCAGCTACGACTAGGCTGGCTTGCCCCGAGGGGGCACTGGGGAGGGGAACTTATGCCCCAGCAGAGCCAGACATGAGAGAGGGAGTGAGGAGAAGGTTTACTCGCTCGCTGTCTCCCTGTGTCAGCTCCAGCTACTTGCTCCCCCAGTCCACCTCTCCCCAGCACCCCTTTCCCACTCGAGCTGCCCTCTTCGTGCCTCCAGCCCCGCCCCCGCCCCATCTGTCTCTGGGCCAGTTCTCCGTGCCCTCCTTCTCTACGGGCCCAAATCTGGCCCCTCCTGTAGTCCCCAGCTGCAGTCCTCCAGAAAGCCTTGGCCTGCTGCTTCTGGAAATCCGCAGAGAGTGGATAAGGGCGAAATAAATAACTTCCCAAGTCCCCGGCAACTCTGAGATTCTCCAGCTGTTTGACCAGAGTCAGGGGTTGGAGCCTCCCAGGCTAGCGGCCTGGCCCATCGCTGCCTGGCAGCCTCACAGAGAGGAGGGAGATGGCGCAGCCAGCCCACTGAGTAGGCCCTCGTTTGGCTTCAGGAGGCTTTGCCTGGAACCCTGTGCAGCCGGCGCCTGCCAAGCAGCCCCCAGAGGGCCGCTGTTTGAGCCCTGCGTCTTTGGCTGCTGGGGAAAGCTACTTGTTGGGATGTTCCCAGGAGCTCCTGTCCACACCTGCTCCCCCTATCTGGCCTCCAAACCTTGTTTACAGTTCAGCCCTGGGCAGACTAGAGGCTAGGATCTGAAAAGAAAGATCTGGGTGGCCAGGGACCCTCTGCCGGCTTAGCGTTCTGGGCCAGAGCTCTGCAGCCCAGCCTGGCCTCGGATAGATGTGCTCACTGAGGGGAAGAATTCAGGCCTACTGCTCCCTTCCCTGCCAACTCCACTTTTCCCATCATGACCATTCCCTCTCACCTTCTGGAATTCTCTCCCCTTCCCATTTTCTCCTCTCGATCTCATTCTCTTTTGCAAGAAAAATACAGCCTCTGGTGGCTGGGGAATTGGCCCAAGCTGAGACGGTGTCCTGGGTCCCCTTCCTCAGGCTGTTTCAGATTTGCCCCTCGCTCGCCACATCCCCAGCCGTGAAATGGGGCGGGTGCCGTCCTGCTGTCAGTGTGGCAGAATAGCAGTGCCCTTCCCCAAAGAGCTTGATCACCCGGAGTCCTATACCAGAAGGCTCTCATTACTGCGTGGCCCACTGCCGGAGCCTGAGGGCAGAGCTGCGGACAGCTCGAGGGCATTTTGAGAGCAGGCGAGGCGCA